AGCCAATATTGTACTGAATGGAGTTAAATTGAAATCATTTCCACTCAGATCAGGAACCAGGCAAGGTTGCCCATTGTCTCCACTGCTTTTTAACATTGTAATGGAAGTCTTAGCCATTGCAATTAGGCAAGAAAAGGGAATCAAAGGTATCCATATAGGGTCAGAGGAGATCAAACTTTCACTCTTTGCAGATGATATGATTGTATATCTTGAAAACACTAGGGATTCTACTACAAAACTCTTAGAAGTAATCAAGGAATATAGCAGTGTCTCAGGTTACAAAATTAATACTCATAAATCTGTAGCCTATATATATATACCAACAATAGTAAAGCTGAAAAAACAGTCAAAGACTCTATTCTGTTCCCAGTAGTGCCAAAGAAGATGAAATATTTGGGAGTTTACCTAACAAAGGACGTGAAAGATCTCTATAAAGAGAACTATGAAACTAAGAAAAGAAATAGCTGAAGATGTTAACAAATGAAAAAACATACCATGCTCATGGCTGGGAAGAATCAATATTTTTAAAATGTCCATATTACCCAAAGCAATATACAATTTTAATGCAATCCCTATTAAAGCTCCACTGTCATACTTTAAAGATCTCAAAAAAATAATACTTCATTTTATATGGAATCAGAAAAAACCTCGAATAGCAAAGACATTACTCAGAAATAAAAATAAAGCAGAAAGAATCAAGCTACCAGACCTCAGATTATACTATAAATTGATAGTGATCAAAACAGCATGGTATTGGCACAAAAACAGAGGAAGACGTATGGAAGAGAATAGAGAACCAAGAGATGAACCTAGCTATTTACTGTTATTCGGTCTTTGACAAGCCAATTAAAAACATTCAGAGGGGGAAAAGATTCCCTATTTACAAATGGTGCTGGGTGAACTGGCTGGCAACATGTAGAAGACTGAAATTGGACCCACACCTTTCACCATTACCTAAGATAGACTGTCATTAAACTTAAGACATGAAACTAAAAAAATACTAAAAGAGAGTACAGGGAAAACTCTTGAAGAAATTGGCCTGGGTGAATATTTTATGAGGAGGATCCCCTGGGCAATTGAAGCAGCATCAAAAATACACAACTGGGACCTGATCAAACTAAAAATCTTCTGCACAATCAAAAACACAGTAAGTAAAGCAAGCAGACAGCCTTCAGAATGGGAGAAGATATTTGCAGGTTATGTCTCCGACAAAGGTTTAATAACCAGAATCCACAGAGAACTCAAACGTATTAGCAAGAAAAGAACAAGTGTTCCCACCTCAGGTTGGGCAAGGGACTTGAAGAGAAACTTCTCTGAAGAAGACAGGTGCACAGCCTACAGACATATGAAAAAATGCTCATCATCCTTATTCATCAGAGAAATGCAAATCAAAACTGGTTTGAGATATCATTTAACTCCAGTAAGATTAGGTCACATCACAATATCCCAAAACCAGAGATGCTGGCATAGATACGGAGAAAAGGGAACACTTCTACACTGCTGGTGGGAATGCAAACTAATATATTCCTTTTGGCAAGATGTTTGGAAAGCTCTTAAAAGATCTAAAAATAGACCTACCATTCAATCCTACAATTCCTCTACTAGGTATATATCCAGAACACCAAAAATCACACTGTAAGATATTTGTACCAGAATGTTTATTGCAGCCCAATTCATAATTGCTAAGTCATGGAAGAAGCCCAAATGCCCAACAACCCACGAATGGATTAATAAATTGTGGTATATGTACACCATGGAATATTATGCAGCCTTAAAAAGGGAGACTTTACCTCTTTCATGTTTACATGGATGGAGCTGGAATATAGTCTTCTTAGCAAGGTATCTCAAGAATGGAAGAAAAAGTATCCAATGTACTTAGCCCTACTATGAAACCAATTTATAGCTTTTTTATGAAAGCTATAACCCAATTATAGCCCAAGAAGAAGGGGAAAAGGGAGAAGGAGGGGAGGGAGGAGGATGGGTGGAGGGAGCGTGAGTGGTGGTACCACACCTATGGTGCATCTTACAAGGGTACATGTGAAATTTACTAGGTGTAAAATATAAATGTCTTAACACAATAACTTAGAAAATGCTGTGAAGGCTATGTTAACCAGTTTGATGAAAATATTAAAATCGGCACATTGTACCCCATGCTTGCATTAATGTACACAGGTATGATTTAATAAAAAAAAAAAAGCAGTACCCTGAACCCCATAAATGCCTTAATGTACAAAGTTATGATTTAATGAAAAATAATAATAGATAAAAAAAAAATAAGAATGTTAGTTACAGAGAACAATGAGAGCTTTTCCAAGTTTCTTGTAGGGCCAGCAATCTATTCATTATTTAATCAGGTTGATGGAGCAATTGCTATAGGGGCAGATGCCAGTCTCGTGTAGAGAAGACACCCTCACAGGGAGGGAACAGGCAGCAATACAGGCAGGGTGCTCAGCTCTGCAAGGACCCCCACATGGCCAGAGGGGCACACAGTAAGGTCAGGGCTGCACCTCCACAGAGGAACAAGTGTAGGCTCAGGCAGAATGCAGCTTGAATGTTCCCAACTGACCCCAGGGTCTGAGATGGGGAGAACATGAGCTTCAGCAGAAAAGAGTCATCTTTATCTCCACTAACCCCTAAATGAAATGAAATTCAATTATGAATTTCAGCAACAGGCATCACAACTAATTTTCTATCACATTACAGTTGCTTAAGATGTCTCTAAGTATCATGTGTACTCACCATAACTTTGTAAGTTTGGTGGTTATTTGCTGCTGGGATCTTGTTAATAAGGACATGCAAATACTGTAATTCATGTTTTTTAATATTTGGAAAAGTATATTTCAGTATAATTGACAATATATGAAATAATATACATACTTTATTTTTATCACTTAATAACATCCTGACAAAGGAATCCATTATCCCAAACAAGTCAAGAGCCCTGGGAACACCCTGCACCTTGCAGTCTCACAGAAGCTAACTCTAAGGCAAAGGGAGCCACTATGGGAAGGTGCAGGGAGTGGCCGCCACCCAGCTGGTTTGCAGAGGTAGGTTGGAGGCCCAAAGGGGCTGAGCTCGGTCATAGAAAGGTGTGGTATTGTCCATCTGAGATGGACACATCACAAAGGAAATGCAGAACCAAGAGCGACACCAGGTTGAGACAGAACAGCCACTTTCAGAGATGGGAACGAGGTAACATTGGTTTGGGGGCAAAAGTACAGGATACGGTGGATGTGGATTGTGCTGTGCCATGAGACCCCCCAGGTTCACAGTGGCAACAGGACACCTGATCCCAGTGCCCAGAGTGCCTGGGCAGACAGAGGCAGAGATTTCAGGGCTATTGACAAAAACATCCTGCTTTCCAGGGGCAGGAGCCCATCCCTGACACCACAGCCACCATGCTCAACTATGAGGCTTAGGAAACCAACATGAACATTAGGGTACAGTTTGAAGAGGGAAGAACAACTGCATGAGTGTGGCTGGTAGGATGTCTCTGCTCCCATGTGGAGAGAACCCCATAACCAGCAGTCTCTACCCCAACAGGGAGAGAACTCCCATAATCACAGTGTCTTCACCCACTGGGAGGATGTCCCCATAATCAGCACTGGCCTATGGGACAGACTGAAGTTTCAGGAGCAATGCTCAGGTCTCCAGAACACTGAAGCTTCTACCTGCTTGTCCCTGTCCAGGGAGGAGGGTGAGGCAGCCCTACGGCCACCTGCAAGCTTTCACCTTCCATGGGACCTGGCTACTGCACTTTGCTAGCAATGCTTTTTCCAAGAAAGGTGTCCCATGGCTCAGCCTTTAGACTCTACTCTTTTACATAAGGAGTTGAGGGAAAGGTCCTAAGGTTTTTATTTTCCTTTACAGAAGACAACATCTGTCATGATTTAAAAAAGAAAAATCACTTTAGAAATAAAAACAACTATGTAGAAATCTCTTTTCTTTCTGGTGAAATTCTTTTTTTTGTTTTGAGACAGACCCTCAAGCTATCCCCCTGGGTAGAGTGCCATGGCATCACAGCTCATAGCAACCTCCAACTCCTGGGCTCAAGTGAGTCTCGTGCCTCAGCCTCCCAAGTAGCTGGGACTACAGGCACCCGCCACAATGCCCGGCCATTTTTTGGTTGCAGCCATCGTTGTTTGGCGCGGGCCTGGGCTGGATTCGAACCCGCCACCTTAGGTGTATGTGGCTGGTGCCTTAGCCGCTTGAGCCACAGGCGCCGAGCCTCTGGTGAAATTCTTTCAGTGAAAATAAGTCAGAGCCCCATTTCTCAGCAATCATCAACATATCAGGATCCCTGTCTAAACAACCAGTTCTACTTCTTGGAGAGAAGCAGCAGGGAGCCTCATGAAAAATGGGGAATAATGTGCCCAGCCATTATTAAATGCAGTGCTGGCCTAAGTTCCACTCAGTTCCAGAGGAACTCTCTGAATTTACCTGCGGTTCCTATTGTGGTACAAAATCTTCATGTCAAACGCTCTGGCCCTTTGAGCGATCTTGTAGCCAATACTGCCCATGCCAATGATCCCCAGTGTTGCCCCTGTCACCTCCTGGCCCATCCAGTTCACACAGAACTCCTTTGTACCTGGTGCAGCAGCCAGATGACAGCCTGAAATGCACCAAGTCCAGAATGAGCAGTGGCACAACACAAATTCACAACTGTCACAGGGCTTCTGACAAATGCAGGGGTTAGGGTGTGCTTTGGCAACACCATTCACACAGTTTGGGCCCAGAGTGATTGAAGGACAGCAACAAATGACAGTTTCCTCAAAGCAAAACCAGAGCCTCCTGGTAGAATGCTTTGAAGTAGAAAGATCTTTCACATTAAGAAAGTATTTCTGGTTAAAATCAGTTGTTTTAGTGTGTGTGTGTATGTGTCTTCCCTTAGACACAGAATGAGCCTGGCCCCTGTGACTGCTTTTCTGGAACCTTCCTAGCAGGTGTCACTTCAGGAGGATGGCAGTTGTGAATTACTACATCCCCTTTCCTGGGAAGGCTCCAGAGAGGTCTAGTGTGTGGGTGATAGGACCCCCAGGTATGTGCCCGACTGATCCCAGGCATGTCCATGTGGTGCTGAGGTCACTCACACCCACATTTTGGGGGAGCCACTGCTCCTGGTCGAGGCTTGGGTGCTAAGAGGCTTCAGTCCCCAGAAGGGCTCCACTCCCCTGAGAAATAAAGTCCCAGAGGTATGAAGTAAGAATCAGGACCACAAAGAGACAGTAGTTTGAAGAGACTTAACTTGTGTGTGTGTGTGTGTGTATATATATATATTTTTTTTTTTTTTTTTTTTGAGACAGGGTCTCTGTTGCCCTGGCTAGAATGTAGTGGCATTATCATAGCTTACTGCTGCCTCTAATTCCTGGGCTCAAGCAACCCTCCCATCCCAGCCTCCCAGCAGCTAGGACAATGGCCACACAGCACCACACACACTAATTTTTCTATTTTTAGTAGAGACAGAGCCCCATTCTTGTTCAGGCTGGTCTTAAACAGGTCAACTCAAGCAACCCTTCTGACTAAACCTCCCAGAGAGCTAGGATTATAGGCATGAGCCATGGAGCCCAGTCATATTTGCATATTTTATAATTATTTTAACAAAAATATTATTAAACATTTGTCATTTGGATCTTTGGAAAACCAGCATTTGTGATGGGTGCTTTACCTTCAAGGACCCTGCGGGCTGCAGCTAGCAGTAAGGCCATCCCCAGGTCTGCTGTGGGGTCAGAGACAGCTTTTGGTGTGTTGGCCACCTTCACACCGAGGCTAGCAATAAGTGGCAGGTCCAGGTGGTTCACGCCAACCCCTCCATTGGCAATGATCTTCAGGGAAGGCAGGCTCCACAGGAGCTCCCTGTCAATGGCCGGCTTCCCACCCCAGATGTACACAGCTTGGATCTTCTGGCAGAATTGTGCTCTATTTTCCACAAACTCTTTCATGGTGATTAGACTGAAGTGTTTCTGCAGGTCTCCAATGTGATCCTTGCATATGCCATGGGGTCCATCAAGTGCAAACACCAACACTCCTGGCAGCTCTGTGCCATCCATGACCTGCAGAAAGATGACAGGACACCCACAGCTGGGGAGCCTCTTCAAGACCAGCCCCTGTGTATGTCTGTGACCCACAGGCTTTCTAAATCACAAGACTGGAAATTCACTTCATTTCCTGGATAAATTCCTATAAAACCTTCAAGGCAGCAGACCCAGAGTGCTGTGTACAATGCCTCCATTGCAGCTGAAGGATGGTCTTACCTCACAACCTAGCTAACAAAGAAAAAGAAAGAGGAAAAAACTCAGCATGACCATGGCTGAATGTGTTACCTCTTAGACTTTGCTTTCTTAGCCTGAAGAGCCCTGACACTAACCCTAACCCTCCCCATCCCCTTTCCCCCTCCCCCCAGGGGTTTCTGCCTCAGTTCCCGCCAAAATCAGATCCCAAGGACTCTTATTAGGTCTAGTGGGCCTAGGCTAAGACAGAAAGATGACAGGCCTCAGCTATACTGGAAAAATACCAGTTAACTCCTGGCAAATTTCTGGACTGCAAACTTTCCAAAAAAAAAAAAAAAAAAAAAAAGAGAGAGAAAGAAAAAAGAAAAGAAATGTCTAGTTCACTCCCAAGATAGATAAGAAAGTACTAATTAATTTCTTGCTTCCAGTTCACTCCAAATTTCTTATTTGGCTAACTCCCTAGGAAACAGACGGGGAGGTACCAACAGTTTCCGGACTGATTTTTAAACAAAACCAGGTGGCTGAAACTAAGATGTATACAGGAAAATATGAAAACAAAAATGTAGGCTCGGCGCCTGTGGCTCAAGCGGCTAAGGCGCCAGCCACATACACCT